ACGTTTGCAAAAATGTACATGTATACGTGATTGCATTGTGTAAGCCTGGGGTGCACAAGCTGATAAAGACTGGCCCCTGAAGTCTGTCCAAGCCTGGAGCCAGCAGGATTTTTTTTTGAGCTAGGTTCATTGACAACAACTAGAGAAAATGCCAAAAGTTGGGTGTCAGCTGTCATTTTTAAGGAGCATTGTCTACCTGGTGCATGGGTTTGGTCCATCCATGGTGTAAGCATGAAGGTAAGCAATGCAGAAATCCCCTTGTCGATGTTAAGGAAGGGGAATTAAGTGTTGAAATTAAATAAAATGATGACAACTTTTTTTTTCCGGCCCTCCAGTTGTGGTGAAACAACAAATCCCATTATGACTCTGCCTCTGGAAGTCATATCTTTGGCTGTCAGAGTCTTCCAATGCCATGTAGTTCCACAACAGCTGGAGGGCTGAAGTTTGCCTACTCTTGACCTACAGAATTGACAAGGCAGGCAGCCACATAAGTGCAATTTGGGAACCAATCTATCACAGCAAAGATCCTTTTACAAACAGGCAGATTGGCATTGGGGGGAACGTGCATGTTTGGGCTTATGCAGGAGAAAGAGGAAGCATGCTGGAAAATCTAGTTCTGCTGATTCTCCTGATTGATCCTGCAATAAAAAGAAATTTGGCAAAAAATGTCTGCTCGAGTGGGGAAAGGGTGTAAAAGCATAAGATTATTGCTTGGGCCAACTGCATAATATATTCTAGGGCCCACTGAAAAAATTGTGTACAACACAACATTATAACGCTAACTGCATAAAAGTCATCACAAGAAGTGTATACATGCCTGTACCTTGTATTCAGGTCAGCTAATGAAGATTTGCAGCTCCTTGTCTGTCTGACATATAATAGAATATGACAGGTGTAGACATATTAATATAGAATTCAAGAGCCGGTCTGACCAATCCAAGAGCCATTCATACCTACCTTGCCAATAACTGGGTGGTATAGGGACACTCCTGACTTTTTAACCAAAATTGTTTGGATAGCGAATAGGTGAGAGGAAAAAAAAACACATGAAATATGTGTAATGTGTAATAACCGTATCTGGCCATGAACACAATGTACAGAATGCATGAGCAATTATTTTAAAGTACAGGCCTCCCATGATTAATTAAAAGTCAGATCACAGTGGACCAAGCATGCCATTATTTAAATCTAACCACCAACATGCATAAGCAAATCTTAGGAACAGGCCTCCCATGATTGTTTGTTTCCAATCAGATCAGAATGAATCAATCATGCCATCAATTAGAATTGACCACCAGCATGCATGGGCAAATATTGTAAAGGACAGGCATTCTTTGTTTAGTTCCAAGTCAGATCAGAGTGGACCAATCAGCCTGTGCCAGTTTTAGCTGGCAAAAAAAGTGTACTTTTTCTTGCAGCAATAGCGTAACAAGCTCTAAAAGTCCTACAGTCACACAAACTTGTCTGTGGCAATAATAATTATTCATGTACAAACTTACACAAAAGCCCAAGTCAAACGTGCGGTGATGCAAAGTCCTTAAAAGCCTTTGCCAGTTCTTCCTAAAGCAAGACCGTAACAAAGCTAGCCTTTGTGTATTGCTAAACTGTGTGTCCTTGCATAGGATTGGGCACACCGGCTTCTGCACAGACAATATACCTGTTGTCATACCTGTACATTTGAGTCTTGTGACTTTATTACTTTTTTTTTTTATTCCTATAAAGCAGTCAGCCAAGGCTCACTCCCACAAAAATGTATTCAATTCCCCCGGTCTCTGGTAACAACCGGCCTCCCACTGGCTGCAGCCGGTGTCACATAAACTAGAAAGACGCGGGCCCTGTCTCTGACATGTGGCAATGCGTGCATGTGACTGAACATAATGACAGTGGAAAGATGAATGAACTGTGTGCGTACAGGAAAATAATTGGGATTTTAAAAGGCAAGGTCACTTTTCTTCTAAAGAGAGTGCTTGAAAAGAGTGCCACAGCTCATACAAGAATGTGAAGAATTTAAGAATATTATATTTCCATTAAGGCTCAGCTCTTGCAGCATTTGGATTTGTCAGGCATAAATTAGCAACTTGCAAACGTTTAGGGATATAATTTACTCATTACAGCGGAACCATAGTCAGATGAGAACCACCCGTTACCCTGTCCGGCTCGCTTTCTTAAAGGTAACTTGCTGCAATATAAATAACTTTTTAAAAAGTTCCAGGATTATATGGTTAGTTACTAACCTGGAACCAGTATGTGCATGTTAGATGTCCTGACATTTTACTGGCTGCTTGCTTTGGGTCAGTGATTCGCTATGTAATGAAGCCCTGTTTGCACCAAGTCATGTGACCAAAGGTTTCCGCACAAGGACATGTGATATCTGCTGAAAGGATCAGAATTTGGAGTGACTGCCTGTCCTTTTCAGCAGAGATCATGTGATTAAATAACTAGGTATTTGGTCATGGGACCTTAATGCCATAAGACCATAGTGGAACTATTTCAGGGCCTCTATTGTTGATGCCCTTAAGGAAGCAACCAGAGTAGTGGGGGTTCTTATTAAACTATAGTACTAATTTGAAGGCACAACAGCACAAGATAGTTCAATTATTGATTCAATACAAAAAGTCATGAAGTGTGTAAACCACAATAAGCCATATCAATCCTTTTTCGTCTACTGCAGTCAAATGAGTAAAATATTAATTATGATTGGTTATTATTGTTGGTGTTGGTATTTATCACATTACTAAGTGCCTTATGAAATAAACTTGCAACCAATGTAGTTTTGTTGCCATCTCTGAAGACAACTGTTAAACTATGCAGCATGACATTCCACATCAGCAAAAGTGACACATGTATAACATGATGGCTATCTTGTTATGTACTGTAAATGGAGCAATGCATCTACAGTGAGTAGAACTGAAAATTCCTTGCTGCACTCCTAAAAACATGACAGTTAAAAATAAAGATGCCCTGTCCACTTCAATTAAGGCTTTTCCATCAACTAACTGCTGTAATATAATAGGGCACGTGGCTAGGCCTCTCTCCTCGTTGTATTCTTGGGTTTTTTTTTTCATGCCAGGGTAGTGTTACACTGACAAAGGAAGCACTGATGAAGTTCAAGGGCAACAATTGATGCAGCTGTCTTGTAAGGCATTCCACTTTAGACATGAAAGTATTCCTTATTTGTCACTGTCTCTGAAGAGGATCTTCATCTCATCTTGTGAAATGGAAAATTATATCAATAACACCAATTTCTGGTGAATCATTTTGTTCCAAATAATGAAAGACACAAACTGGGTTGGTTGACCTAGCCAACAGATTTTGGTTTGTTCTCAAAAATTAAAGGTAACTGCAAAGTAACCAATACATTTTATGAAACAGAAAGTAATCTTAAGGCTGGGTTCAGACCTAGGCGTATCGAATATGCGTGTTTGTCGCGCCCACGCGTTTTTACCCTAAAAATACAGCGTGACAAACGCGCATTTCCGAGGGCTACCTGGCTGTATCCCAATGGATACGCGTGGCAAATACGCCCCAAAGAAGCTCCTGTACTTCTTTGGGCGTAGGGCGTTTTGTAGCGCGTTCATACGGCCTGTAATACGCCCAGGTGTGAACCATACCCATAGGAAATAATGGGATTTTGGTGTTTGAGCGTTTTGCACAGCGTAGGAACGCGCTACAAAACGCCCAGGTGTGAACCGGGCCTTAAGGTTGTTGGTACCGCGGCCATTGAGGTGCTTTTTCTGCACACCACCACACATGTATGGTGTGAACAAGGCAGATGGAAAATAATTGCCATCCACCATACATGTATAGTGGCATGCAGAAAAACAGCACAACAGACATGCTGTGAATGAGCCATTAGACACCACTATCTACTGGCTTATGTGGGGAACACCTCATGATATAGCTATCTTCAAGATTCTAGATCCAGTCTGTCCTTACTAACAGTTCCCTTTTAGAGAACAGTCTTCACGTTTGCGTCCTTAAAGGTTAAGGCTTATTAAAAAAAAGGAGCTATGTGTTGTCCATCAACTCGGCGCAGAGGCAAATATTATTTTCCCACAACCACCAATAAAATTCAGACATTTAGATTCTATGGCAGATTCACATCTGATTGGTGGCTGGTGGAAAAACAGTAATAGTACTTATAAGTGACGTTCTGAGACACAAGGCCTTTGTTGTTAAACAAAGAATATCTGTTGAAGATGCCTCGTAGGAACCAATCAGATTCAAACATTTCCTTGCCAATTGTCATTTTTTAGCTGAAGGCTTGCATGTGATTGGTTCTTTTAAGCTGGCTGAGGCAGGTGCTCCCGTAGACTGTTTTTTAAAAGGGCCCTGTGGCTGCCTTTGTTATATATGCAAGATACAGATTAAGTGCCACTTGTTATATGTATGCACCGGGATTATTTTACAACTTTTGCTCTGTCATAAGTAACGGAAAAAAATGAAACAATTGCTTGTCTCACTTCACTGAGTTTCACATCAAACATTTGCCAAAGATTCTGCTCCATCCAAATATGCTGCATATTTTTTAAATCCTACATTTCATTTCCTCAGAATTACAAGGTCTGCCCAAGGAAAAAAGACCAGCCAGAGGGTACTTTAGCAGCCTTAATAACCTTCATGCTCGTGGACAACAGAGCCCCTTCCTTTTGTATCTCCAGAGATGCATCTGATGTACTTCCCAAATGACTAGTGATATATCAGGATCGTTTAGCAAATTATCAACACAGAAATGCTACCAGGAACCCAACCGGAAGGTCATGCAGCGCATGCCAAGGTGACAAATGCTTGTCTGGTCTAGCAACACCTGCATTTATATAAATTTCCCAACACTCTCCGTGCAAGCATCTTCCAAGAATACAATAAGGAAAGGACGTGAATCGATCCTCGGCTTTCACTGTTAAAAAAAAGTTTGGTGTGCATCCAAGCTGTCTTTTTTTTATCCTGATAAACAAGCTTGTAAACAACATGGAGCCTGTAAGCATAGGCCAATATCATACCTCAAATATGTTTGATGACTCGTTGCTGTATTGATTGGAAATGTTTTCTGATTGGTCACTGTACCACTTTAATCCACCCAAAAAGCTGTCTGCATCCAAATCGTTCACATCGAGTTCAGAAAGATCCAGCTCTGGAAGATCTGGGCAAAGGGGCTGGTCTTCACCAACCAGAGCAGCACACTGCAAAAGACAAAAAGGGGAATGTCAGGTCAAAATCTTCACAAGTACCACTGGTGTTAACATTTGACTCATAATCTGCATCGGTAACATGTGATTAACTATTTTCTGCTTTGTGACTATCAAGGTTACACACCTTGGAAACCTTCCAGATTAAGTAATCATTCAACCATACCTGTGCCTATCAAAATGTCTCTCCAGGATAAGGCTGGCTGCCAAATTTCAAAAAGGCACATGCGAGGGTCAGAAAGAACGTCGCTGCCATTACACTTTTACACTGCTGACCAATTAAATGTCTTCATAGAAATACATTTCTTAGAACTACACAAAGGCAGTAGGCCATGGTGCAATTTATTCATTTTTGTTCCAACAGCCATAAAAACGTAAAGGCTGATTTACGAAAGCTTTAGGCTTCGTTCACACCAAATGCAGAGCAGATCCGCTCAGGTTTCTGCACATGCAGTGCAGTGGGTTGTGCCGCGTGTTTGATGCGTTCCGGCCGTTTTTGGTAAACAACTCTTTTTTTCTTTTTAAGTTTAACATGGGCTTTCAGTGCGTTCCAGGCATTTGTGTGCATTTTTGATGCGTTTGCATGCGTTCCAGAGCAGGTAAAATAGGGCCTGCTGCAGTTTTTTTACCTGCTCTGGAACTGCACGCTGCGATGTGAACTGGAGCTAAGAATACCATTGGAATACATTGGACGCAGTTTTGATCCGGTCTGCAACTGCTCTGCTCTGCACCTGCTCCGCGCTTGGTGTGAACAAGGCCTTAGGGAAGGAAAATAAGAGGTTTGGTTCCTGAAAGCCAATCAGGGTTTAGCTTTTGTTTTCTCACGTGCACTAGAAAAATTATACCTGAGAGCTCTTGGGCAGCATGTCCACGTCGTCAGGGTTTATCATTCTCTATTAAAGTTCTATTCTAAACTCTTAACCAAAACTTTCAGAAAACTTTTTTTTTTAATTTTAAGGGCCAAGATTTTTTTCGGAAGGTAGATGTGTGGCTTGTATGCTGAACAGCTGACTCCCCAAACCAGACCCCATGAAGATTTTTTGGTTTGTGCCCACCCTTCTGTAAAAAAAATCAAGAGTCACTCCTCCCCATCAAAGTATCACCCAAAAAACAGACCCCAGATGGTAGATTGTCCGGTGAGCCAGTGTCCTCTTCACTCCCCTGGTACCTATGCCAAACAATGGGTGGTCTGTCTACCTGCTCCAAGCATACTGTTTTCTTAGGCTATCTTACTGGCCAGTTCAGGTGCACCTAGAGCTTAGCAGAGTTCCTCTTTAAGTGTATGCATCAAAATCAATCTGTGATGCCCCATAGCAACCCATTTCTTCAAAGAACTGGCAAAACAGATGCTTCTTATCTCAGACACTTTCATAAATAGGGCCCAGTGAGCTTCATTTATCAAAGTGCCTGAAATAAGACCAGCGTGTATTATCCATAACAGCCAATTAGTTTCCCATTTCATTTTATTTAGTGCATGAACAAATCTAATTCATACCCAGCACCATTTATATTAAAAAAAAGAACATACTACGCTCTATAATATTACTGCGTAATCGAAAGAATATGCAATGTAAAAAATGCTTTAGAAACTTTACTCGCCTGCAAAAAAGCTGTTGGTTTTGTTACACTGTAACAACTCCCTAGTAGCTGGGAAACAACTTCCATTATTTAGCCTAAGATGTCTACTGTAGAAAATCCTGGGCATATCTACAGGCTGCTGTGAATTTATATCTGACCTTTCAGTGGGTGCGAGGCTTTACATGGCAAACTGTCCTCTCCTGTCATGCTCACATCCCTGGCACTTGCCTGTACATCTATAACAGGTGCTTATCAATTCCAGCGCCACCATCCACTTCCTCTCATCATAAGGCCTACATGTCAAAAATACCTTCCATAAAATTACAATAAGGTCACAAAAAGCCTCAAGGTTTAGCCCTGGACACCAGTTATCATGTATGTGAGTGTGTGTGCCTGTGTACATATACATGGTAGACTATAGTGTAGGCATTCTGTGGATTTAGGGCTATTTGTGGAACTACAAGACCCAACAACCTGTGTACAATCCATACAGTTTATCCTCAGCATAAAAAAAACACTTGCAACATTATCTTTTCTTTTTGCACTGCAATCCTAAAAAACAGCGCAAATCGCAAAGAGGATGTGCAGATGCAGTGACACATCAACCAGTTCAAAATCACCTTACACTTATATGACTTCATTAAATGTAAATCCTATTAGTTGCTATAGGTTGCTGCACTTTGCAACTCTTTGCACTGCCTGGCCATCTAGGTGCTGACGAATGCCGAAACAAAGCCCGCTGTTGACAATCAATATCTGTCAGAGGTAGGGCTGCAACTAACTAATTGATTATAATCATTAATGAGAATAGTTGTCAACTATTCTCATTATCGAGTAGTTGGTTGGATATTGGTTGGATAACCTAGCTCTCTTCTCCACACTGGGAGGAGGTCACAGCAAGCAGTGGGTGGGTGCAATATGAACCAATTCAAAATCACCTTAGTCTGACTTGACTTGATTAAACGAAGATCCCATTGGTTGCTAAAGGTTGCTGCACTTTGCAACTCCTTGCACTGCTTGGTATAGACTGTTGATGCAAAGCCCACTCTTAACAATCAATAGCTGTCAGAGGTCACTGTTGGTCCCTCATGTCGCCCTGTCATTTGGAGACCCACAAATTCTCCTATATTCAAAAGGTTCAACTAAACTTTCAAAACTCAGTGGCGCATATCAACCAAACAAAAATCACCTTACTCGTTGCAGTGCCTGGCTATCTAGATGCTGAAGACTCCTGAGCAATCAATCGCTCCCAGGGGTCACTGTTGGTCCCCCACATCACCCTGCAATTTGGAGACCCGCATCTTCTCCTGTATTCAAGAGGTTCAACAGAACTTTTGAAATGCAGTCACTCATGTCAACCAAGGTAAATGTAATGTGAAAATCACCTTACTCTTATTTGTTTTGATTAAATGAAAATCCCATTGGCTGCTATAGGTTGCTGCACTTTGCAACTCATTGCACTGCCTGGCTATGTAGATGCTATAGAATGCTGAGGGAAAGCCTGCTGATGACAATCAATAGCTGTCAGGGGTCAGTGCTGGTCCCTCACTTCTCCTTGCCATTTGGAGACCCGCATCTTCTCCTCTATTCAAAAGGTTCAATTAAACGTTCAACTTTTTCATCACTCTAAACCGTGTCCTCAACCCAGCAGATACAAAAGGTACAGCCTACGGAGGTAAACTTGTTGCAATGTGTCTTGTAAAAGCGCCTCTATCAATCTTTGCAATCTCCCTGCACATCATCCTCATTAAAATGTGAAACATCTGGGACTTAATCTACGTGGGCCTTTATTAATATAAGCATCGGTCTGTCCTGTTCTGGGAGCAGACAGATTGCATTTCCCAGCAAGTGTGCTTTTTTTTTTTTTCCTTTTAATCAGCTTCCTTTTTTTTTCCTGTTTACCGAGCTTCACAAATTAGCTTCATGTAAAGAAGCAGCGAGGAGATGTACACAAGCAGCAAATCCAAGAGTTAATCCATTTCTATAAACAATGCAAAGTGCTATCAAATCCCAGCCACAACCCTGGTGATCATGAGATCAATAACTGTTGATATGTTATTTGCCATCGCTGGTTTACAAAAATAAATCTCCCCTTATTTCCATGCTCGCTGCTCCTCAATCAGCTCTCAGGCAGCATCGGGAATAATGCATGATGGAAAAATGAGGAAACGGCAGCTGAGACCCACACCATCAGCTTGACAACAAGCCACAGCACTCTTCAGCTACTCGCAAACAATTAGGACTTTGTAGCCGCAAACTCGCCTGATGGTCGCACTGTATCCGTTGCCCCTTTGGAATCTAAGTGCGCTTCTGTTATCTCTCAAGAAAACGCATGACTGAGCGCGACCAACGAAACGAATAAATGAAAGTGATCAAAGTGGAAATACATCCAGCTTTCCATTTTTATTTCTGAACTGTGGAATACGGTGGTGGGCATATGGCTCAATTCATGAAGCCTCATGCAAGGATAAGAGTCTTTATTTTCGGTCATGTGACTGTCATTTCCAAATCTCATTGGACTCTGCTGAAAAGAACTGTCACTTTTGTGAGGGAAATAAGGATCCTTATACTGGTGTTAAAGCCTTGTGAACAGAGAGGGAGGGTGTGTGTGTGAGTGTGTGTGTGGGTGAGCACATTGGGGGGAATTGATCCAAACTGGAGCAGGCAAAATCTGGAGCAGTTATCGCAGCCTATCAGCTTTTCTCTTCAGTTGTTCAGTTAGGATTTGAAAAATGAAAGAGAGAAGCTGATTGACTGCCATGCAAAACTGCTGAAGATTTTGTCTGTTCCAGTTTTTATAAATTTCCCTCATTGTGTTTGTCACATAACTATCAATATGCATGTATATAATGAAAACACATACACAAATATATATCTATATAGATATATATACACATGTATTTTTTCTTATGTATTTATTAATTTCATATTGTATAGGCATATTGATACTTATGTGACAAGCTCAATGTGCTTACACACACACACGTATATATAAATACTAATAGATCTATAAATATTTATGTATGTGTTTTCATATTGCAAAAGCATGTTGACACTTATGTGACAAAAGCAATGTGCTTACACACAGACTCAT